CATCCCATCCCCATAATTACAACAGCTTACATCAAACCTAACATCAAAACTGTAAATTCAAACAAGCTTAGATGATAGAAGAGTAATTATGTACATTTTATTAGTCTGGATAATAATATTAACAATCTTACGCATCATTATTTCAGCATATTTCATCCACATACTCAATATTAAAATGAATCTAATCACAAAACCTCAAACCCCTCAAAAAGACTATTAATATAAAAAAGTGTTACCCAGAATAAATCATTTATAGTCTCAACATATAAAAATAATTTATAATAATAATTTTAAAAAATAAAAATATCTTAACAAACAGCTAATATTTAAATAGTTCAAAACTAATGAAACAATCAATTAACTTAAGGAGACTCGATGGGGCGAATGAAGACGTGAGCGACAATGAGCTATAATACACCACCAGCTCATTCTACCGCGTCGCTGGAAGGGTTGCGAAACAAGCAAATGCGCCGATCCTCAAGATCGCGTCGCGTCGCAGGAAGGGGGGAAGAAGAGTCGAAACGCACATCAAGATATCCGTTCGATTCCCACCTTCGCGATTGATATTTCCGCGTATCTCCTTAAGTTGTTTTTTCTTCTTTTTTTATTGTCAACCGGTGGTAGGTTGACGTTTTAACCAGGGGGGGTGTAAGAAAGGGGATTAACCCCGTACCCACGGTGCTCATCTATGCAGATACTCTGTTCACATTACACTTAGTCGACCAGTTGGTGTGAACAGAGTTGAACAGTAGCATGAGCATCGATTTACAAATTCCTTTCCCAGCTGATGTGAGCTAGGCGATGACCGGTAGGGCTGACTTCCAAGAAACACCGTTAACCTATAAGCCACACACCCTATCGGTAATCAGCGAATGAGAAGGGCTGATGAAGAAGATGGAGGGGTCAGGAGTCTCGGAGCTGGAGGATCTGAAGGAAAACATCGAGGAGATCACCACGGGCCACGGGACCAAGAAGATCAGGAGTTTCGGAGTGCGTGTATCGGTGCGTGTGCTTCTGGGACAATTAACAGTATGTAAAAAGAATAAAATTTATAACTAAAGTTTTGTTAAACATATAAGTCATATAATTTGTCAGTAACTAATTCTTTTATATTTTCAATTGATTTTCTTTTCTTGTAAATTTAACGTTGTGAATTAATTTATCTTATTATTGTTGTTTTTTGCCTTTTCAAAGTTTTCTTTTGCTGTTGTCCCACTTTGTAACTTTTGTTGTTCTTTTAATTTAATTTTTGTTCATTACACGTTGAGTAACACCCTTAAGCAGTCTTATGTCTCATTAACCTAACACCTCTTCACTAAGCTAAGCGAGTGAATCATTTTAGGAAACTTAAACTTAAAGTGAGGCATGGGACTCGCAATACTTCTATACTATTATACTAAAATGGTGTATGTCTGTATGTTTATTACTTGTAGGAGCAAAAACTACTGAACCGACTGGGCTTAAATTTTACAAAAATATATCTACCATACTAAAAATGGTAATAGGGATATTCACATTTCGATACTGACCGTGGGCTTACAAATACTTAAGTATATTGAATAGTTTTAGTACGGTTATTAGTTACGGAAAATATAAAAAATTGCAAATTTAAAAGTCCTATTTTATTCTTATGGAGAATAAGTATTCTGTTATAGCTTGCTTGTTTTTGGATATATTTTGTTCAAACTTTTATACTAAACTATTAATATTTTACTAAAACACACTTTATTACCTTCCCCGTAGCAGTAAACTTAGGTACTTGTTAAACATATGTTATTTGAATAGAATTAAATCAAATCAGGCAAATGGAAATTCCCTTAGTCTTCAGATTTGCTGAGGCGGGGTTTTATTTTATTTTATTGAGTAAAATGTTGTTAATAAACACCTAATACGACGATAGTATCCAGTAAATGTCTTTGTGTAGATCTTCTGTTCATTCGTCATTGGTTTGGTTCAAACCAAAGGTAGATAATGTGATAAAGTTTATGTTTTCAGTTTATTTCTTACAACAAACAGATGTAGAATAATTCGTCAATAAAAATTCATGTTTGTAGCCCCTGAGCTGTTGGACATAATAAGACCACAAACCTCTATATGTTTGTAGCCCCTGAGCTGTTGGACATAATAAGACCACAAACCTCTATATGTTTGTAGCCCCTGAGCTGTTGGACATAATAAGACCACAAACCTCTATATGTTTGTATCCCCTGAGCTGTTGGACATAATAAGACCACAAACCTCTATATGTTTGTAGCCCCTGAGCTGTTGGACATAATAAGACCACAAACCTCTATATGTTTGTAGCCCCTGAGCTGTTGGACATAATAAGACCACAAACCTCTATATGTTTGTAGCCCCTGAGCTGTTGGACATAATAAGACCACAAACCTCTATATGTTTGTAGCCCCTGAGCTGTTGGACATAATAAGACCACAAACCTCTATATGTTTGTAGCCCCTGAGCTGTTGGACATAATAAGACCACAAACCTCTATATGTTTGTAGCCCCTGAGCTGTTGGACATAATAAGACCACAAACCTCTATATGTTTGTAGCCCCTGTGGACATAATAAGACCACAAACCTCTATATGTTTGTAGCCCCTGAGCTGTTGGACATAATAAGACCACAAACCTCTATGGTAAGAAAAAAATACTTACCCAATCCCGTCAGAGCTCAAAACTTGTCGAGTTGTGACGAGATTACGTAAGTAATTTAGTCTTACATAATTAATCAATATTGAACCCATATTTGCTCCTAAATTCAACACGGTGTGCATTGTGTTTAGACCAGTAATAGCCATAATGATATCCTGATATTCTAGTATTGCAAATTACAACCACCATGCAACAGTGAAAAAATGAGTTAAAGGTAAAAATAAAGAGACTTCGACGGATATAAAAACGTATTTTGCATTGCATACTGTTATTACATTACACTTTGTATTTTATTTTACCTTAGTGAAAATACAAACTATCACAATGATATCGATAAGAATAGTCTCTAGGATGATATACATAAGCCTTATCTCAAAATAACTTACTCAATTTGCTTGAGCATAAATGCCATTAGGCACATTCATGTATCACTAAAAAGTGGAAATATAATATAATGTAAATGCTGTTAATTTGTTATCCTAGAAAACCCCAAATACAGTACTGCATTCTAACTTATTCAATGAAAATCAATATTGTGCGCTGTACCATAGACTAAAACCTTTAATCTATTAATTTGTGGCTGTACCACGGTAATCGAAATTCATTAGTGATCTGAAACTAACTGCAAGGTTTTCCTATTAAAACTATTATTGTCCTGATACACTTCTCCGGTCAAGTAACTCTTCTCAACTTAACATGAGACAAGGTATACTATTTCAAACTCTGTTGCCTACCACATGCTCGATATAGTCAGCAAATATATTAAATTGAAAAAAAAATATTTATTTCCGTTTACACAAAAAGGGCTGCACAGATTTAGTTAAAAACTAGAGGTTGTCTAGTGGTCTAAAACTCAACCGAAAATTTGTAATGTACAGACTTCTCTATTTTCACACCACGCTGTAAATAAATCATCTGATTGGAATTTATTTCATTTGTATTGATTGTCTGTTTACATTTCGTTGTTATTTCGTCACCAGCATGGAAACCCATAAGGCCCATGTTAACTTTTTTCAAATTTCAAACTCATTTGTTGTGCTGATTTTTGAGCCTATTTTAGTTTATAAAGGGATTCTGCATATCTACAGGAAAATATATTTCTAACAGTATGCGTAGATTTTCCCTGCGATGCACACGAGCTGGGAAAAAAGGTTTTAAAGAAACATGCTTGCCTATTAATATATAGACTAGTGGTCATCCAGTGGTCGAAGACTCGACCAAAAAATATCTGTACAGACTTCTCTATTTTCACCCCACACTGTAAATAAAATAAAACACGTGATTGGAATTTCTTCCATTTGTTTGGATTTTCTGTTTACATTTCAATGTTATTTCGTCACCAGCATTGCAACTCATAAGGCCCATGTTAATTTTTTTCAAATTTCAAACTCATTTGTTGTGTTGATTTGTGAGCCTATTTTAGTTTATAGAGGGGTTCTGCACACCTACAGGAAAATATATTTCTAACAGTATGCGTAGATTTTCCCTGCGATACACACGAGCTCAGAAAAAAAGGTTTTAAAGAAACATGCTTACCTATTAATATATATAGATTATATATTAATAGAGGTTTAATAGAGATTATAGAGGTCTATAATTATTTGATCGGATTGGCAATAATTGCCTAGTTAAAAGGGCGGTGAGTTCCAGGCAGGTTTTAGGAAAAATATTCTGAAATTGATAACATAATTTTTTAGATCAACCTACAAAGCACATTTAATATTTTCTTAAAAAAGGAAACTTATATCAGTACATTTTGGTCGATTTTAAAGCCTTAGCATTAAAAATGGATTACGAGAGCCAAGCACCGCACGTTACCAACAGCTTTTATCTATCAGCTTTGACCTTAACGATAAACTTTGCTTGATATGAAATTACTGTGATGTCCTGGGCGATTAAGGCAAGAGCTGAGCTTATCAACCTTAACTTTGAACCATGGCTATAGTAAACAATTTATCATATATGCACTTTTTGAAACATTAAATAAAAGGAAGATACTTTAGAAAGTTATTTTTTGGCTGTGTAATTCTGAAATGGGAGAAATAAATAGAGATTTTGAATGGTTGGCATTGGCGCACTCTACTTCATTTTTTTAAATATGCATGACAAAAAATGTGGGGCTTCGATCAAAAATCCAATAAGTTGAAAAAATTTAACGTTTTCAATTTTTTTAGTTTTAAAAGGAAATGTTATCAATTTTATTATTTGTTAAGTGTTGTTAAAAAATATATATTCTTTTTGTGAAAATATATCTATATTGTATGCAAAATTTTATCTTTGTTCTTAAAAGGAACATTTATTATTATTATTATTATTATTATTATTATTATTTATTAACTATTGTCTTTAAATATTATTTTGTGTAGATTGTAAGAAAAAATGTATTGTTTTATAAATTTGTTTCGTCTGTGAAGTTTACTTCATATCATTATTACTGTATTGATGTTATTAGTAGTATTACCATTGACTATATATTACTGTATGTTAAGTGCTGACCAGGTAAACCAGCCGAAAAAGACAGTCTGCATGACGATTGTTGTATAAGTGCTAAGTAAAATCAACTATACACGTTATAAAAATCACTTTTTCAGTCATTCATTCCAACAAAGTGGTTGTTGATTCCTCCTGACTTTTATATGTTTATGTCGTTATTGTAGCTAAAATAAGTCATATGTTACAATACAATGCAATATATTATATACATTTAACAGTACAAAATCAATAATTATGATTCCTGGTCCCGAAACAACCGTAGCTCAGGAAATAAATTCTTTATTCAACAAATTATAATTTTGCGCGGCTAAAACTGATTTGCGCGGATGCGTAGATTATCTTAATGCGTCTGATTTTACTTATTGCTGTCTTATTGCTACGTGATACATACTAAATTATATAGAAAACCAAGCAGTCTTAGGGAAATAAGAAACTAAAGGTCGTCCAGTGGTTGAAAACTCGACCAAAAACATGTAATGTACAGACTTCTCTATTTTCACCCCATGCTGGGAATAAAATGTGTGATTGGAATTTCTTGCATTTTTTTACTTTATGTTTAGATTTTGTTGTTATTTCGTCACCAGCATGGTACAATACCCATGATTTTTTTTAAATTCTTTTGCTTTTTTTGCCTATTTTAATTTGTAAAGGGATTCTGCACATCTACAGTCTACAGGAAACATCTTTCTAACAGTATGCATGAATTTTCCCTGTGATGCACACGAGCTGAGAAAAAAGTTTTTCAAGAAACATGCTTGCCTATTGATGGGAAATATACAAAACGGCTCTATTACAGTTGGTTTTAATCCATCACAGTGTTCCAAATTTTCTGTCATAGCACCTGTAATAACAAATTTTGGACATACCTAACAATGAATTTTATAATTATCAAGTACTGTGCATTAACATTTTTAACAAAAGCAATATTAAATGGGTAAAATGAAGGCGTGAATTTAGTGATATTAGGTACAAAATGAATTGTTCAAATCTTATTGTTTAAATTTTGCGCGTTTGGCCCAAAAATCAGATATACAGTAAGCTTACTTATAAATTGTGATTTAAGTGGCTATTATCATTGACTATTGGATACAGAAGTTGTTGTATTAATAGTAAAAGATATTAAATAAAAAAATGCTCAGTGTACTATGAAAGTATAAAAGGGCCCTGATATGAGGCCAATTCAATTTACTTGCAGAGTATCGTAACAGATCAGCATTTATATATAGCATTTATACCTATAGGTATGATTATTCTATTTTTTCAAAAAGTATTTCCAAATATTTAGTATTGATAACAAATAAAATATTTATTATAAACAACCTTTGACTTATTTGAAATATAATTATTATGTATATATCTTGCATCTAACCTCTGCTACCTTCAGAGATTACAGTAAAAACTAAGGGAGTAAAGGTTCCAGCATAAATTTCACATTACTGGATTAATAACATTAGCATCTTAGTTCTCACATAGAATTAATTTTGTGAAACTCTCTTACACAACAGAGCATGTCACGAACACCGGAATGAACTGAAACTCAATGAAATTACACGTATTCACAATTTAAATTCATAACAATTGTTACACTACATTTATTATATTCATACACATATCTACATGATTTGGATTTTTATGTAACTTTTTCTTTTACAAATCTCCATTGACTCTTTAATTTTGAATTTGTTTTGTGATTCTAAAAACCCCTTTCCCATGCTAAGTTACGTTACTTTTTAGGACTTAAATGTGCTAGTCACATTGTGCCGTAACTAGTAGTGAAATGATTAGGACTACGATCAAATGCATCAGACTTCAAATTCTGTGAAATATGATCTGGCACTGTGGGAGGAACAAAGTTGTTTATGTTGTAATTGTTAATAGTTACCCTAGGATTACCATGGATACTTTGGACTTGATGGTAGGTTGATGAATTGTCTGGCATGGTTGTGAAATGATTGATTCCATAGGAACCCTGGGCTTTGTTTAGTTCGCCTGGAGTAGAAGAATAGAGACTAGAGAAATCACTTGCGTATTGATGTCTTAGAGTCAAAGCGTCGGGCCAACTGTTCGTCTGTTGATTTGCTGATCTGTCATATGGAAAATAATGCGGATGCATATACCTTTGGTAACTAAAATTTTGCCCATATACAAAAGGATAACTTTGTGCTTGATTAAAATCAGGCCTTTGTTGGCCTACAGTTTGATATGTATTGTAATATTGGCTATTATACTGATGGCGTTGCAAAGGCAAAGTACGCATTTTGTCGGTACTATCAAAAGATCCATTGAGATGAGCAGTAGTAGGCATATTGTTTGTTGAAGTAAATGCCGAAGATCGCGTAGCTTGGTTGATTGATGATGTCTGGGTTGTTTGGGATTGAGATACTGCATAATTAAATGTATTTGGCATGTTTAAACAATGTATTGTATGGTTACTAGGTACTCTGTTGCATTCCGAATACTTATTTGAGTAAATAAGCTCTTGATTTGAAGGATTTATGTCTTGTCCTTTTGTTTGGAGCTTTGAATAAGGTGTTCTTTGAAGAGAAAAACTAATGGGGTTTGAAGATTGGACATCCAACGCAGGTTGCTGAACACAGACACTTTTACTTGAAGATTGAAAATTTTTCGAAGCATTTGGCTTTTGTAGTACATGTTTTTCCGCATCAACATGTTTCCTCTTTACACCTATATTACTGACAACCGTGTTTTCTTCCCGCACTACCTGTGGATTGAATTCCAATCCACCGAGAGTGGTCTGCCTATTCTGATGATTCAACAACACATTATTAGCATCAATTATCTGGTTACACGTATCACTGAACTCTTTGCAGTGGCCATTTGAGACGGATGTACTTGAGCTAGAATAATCAACAATTTTATCTTTCAATTTGGCAGTTAACTTCTCAAAATGAATACTTGATGTACTATTTAAGTCCATGTTTTGACTTAAAAGAAACAGTTTCCTCTCACCATTTTGTGACTGATGGTGTTCCTGTACATTATGATTCGAATTCTTGACAATTACTGACACTTCTACACTCTTGTTATTGGTTGCAGGCAGAGTTTCCAGTACATCGTCAAGGCCCTTGCTAACAGACTTTGTACGTATTGTTTGAAGAGTGGCTACATCACTTTTGCCTTTTGGAGTACTAACAGAATCAATTTGGTCAGGTATATCTTTCAGGAATGAATCTAATATATCCAAGCAGCTTCTTTCAAAATTATTTTTACTTTGCCAAAATGTTTCATGGAGTATCCTGGATATAGGAGGAGTTACTGTTGATACATATTCGTGCAACAGACTAGTGAATGACCATCTAGCTAAACTTAATGAATCTAAATATTTGGGAGTAAGCGTAGTAACTCTTAAAAATATTTTAAGAAAAAGAACAAGGAGCAAATCTGCATGTTGATCAGTCATGTTTTCAGTCAAAAATAAGTTTGTAAGAGTGTCATCAAAGATTGCACAAAAAGAAATTCTGTGTAAAATAATAAACATTTTTAAGCGTGCCTTTGCAGCGGTTATTTTGTTTTCCCTAGATAGATCGCAAGAGTCTTTCCTAGCTGTGGCAATTCGAATTGAGCATTGTTCAGCTTCCTTCATAGTTACATCAAGTATTTCCGCTAGTTTATTAATTAGAATAATAATATTTGGATCAACGATTCTGTTGTAGTAAAGGGGCAGCATTTCGTTTGGAATCAAAGAAGTTTGGTCTGCACTATCTGTTATACTTGGTGGTGTGTTGATTATAGGTAATCTTTGCTTTATATTTTTCTCAATTCTTGGATTTTTGGAACATTTATTAATATCATGTTGTGGTACAATATTTAAGCTGATCAAATCTAAATCCGTATTAATACTGGATTGATCTATATTTAGTAGAGTGTCTGGAGTAGTTTTGGTGAATGTACTTTTTGACTTATAAATTTGTTCATCACACACATTTTGATCAACAGAGTATTTACTCCAACCAAGTTTCCTTCCTCGTTTTTTCTTACTCGGGTTTGACTCAGTTGCAGATCCTAGAAGAGTTTGTGAACATAAAGATGGACCAGCAGGGATGTTTTCAGATAATTGTTCATTTGGTGTTAGAGTATCTGAAGTTGTTTTGGTCGATGTACTTTTTGACTTAGAAATTTGTTCATCACACAACTTTTGATCAACAGGGTATTTCCTCCAACCAAGTTTCCTTCCTCTTTTTTTCTTACTCGGGTTTGACTCAGTTGCAGATCCTAGAAGAGTTTGTGAACATAAAGATGGACCAGCAGGGATGTTTTCAGATAATTGTTCATTTGGTGTTAGAGTATCTGAAGTTGTTTTGGTCGATGTACTTTTTGACTTAGAAATTTGTTCATCACAAAACTTTTGATCAACAGGGTATTTCCTCCAACCAAGTTTCCTTCCTCTTTTTTTCTTATTCGGTGTTGACTCAGATGCGGACCCTAGACGAGATTGTGAACATAAAGATGAATCAGTAAAGGCGGATATTTGGTTAATTGGTGTCAGATTATATGAAGTTGTTTTAGTCGATGTACTTCTTGACTTACAAATTTGTTCGTCACACACTTTTTGATCAACAGGGTATTTTCTCCAACCAAGTTTTCTTCCTCGTTTTTTCTTATTCGGGTTTGACCCAGTTGCGGACTCTAGACGAGTTTGTGAACATAAAGATGAAACAGAATGGATGTTTTCAGATATTAGGCTAATTGGTTTTCTCAATCTACCTATTTTTTTCTTTGTTGGCTTAGAGTGTGTGAGATACTCTAATTCCGATGTCCCGGTGATTTCTTTAGTTTGATCTTCATAAGGCTCTCTATTGTATGGTTGTTTTTCGTGGTTGTCTTCAAGAAGCGTCACACGATTCTTTAAACAAAGTTTTGTGTTAGGGTTGTTTTCCATGTTATCAGAACTTTGTCGTCTTTCTACAACCTCTGCAGGTTCCAAAATGTGATTGATCTCATTGTTGTTATTCACTGAGTCTGTTTTGAAATTTGTCTTTAGTTTTTCATCAATAGTCATACTAAACAAATTTTCATTGTTACGTTTCTCTAAACTTTCGTTCAACGATTGGACTACAGTTAATGCTTCTGCCAAACTCTTTAAACCCTGATTATGATTTTGCTTTATATCACTTTTGTCCGAGTTTTCTTCCACACTCTTGTTAATAAAACCATCAAATGTATCCTTATCACAAGTATCGTCTTCATAGAAACTAGTGGGGTAATGATCCGTCTCTACGTTATTTGTAATAGCATCTCTAGAGAGTTCACTTGCGCCAGCTACCGCAGATTGTAGATTTGTTAATGTCTTGGGCAAAATATGTATGGAAGCCTCTTCAATGTCGATGTTTATACTAGTATCTTCGAGTTGGTTGCTAGAGTTTTCGGGCCCGTCTTCTGCCAACAGGTTTAGTTTACTTTCATCTTCAACGATATAAACAGCTTGGAGAGGCTGAATATTCACCTGCTCACCAATGATGATGCAATCATCTTCATCTTCACTTGAAAGAACTATTGTTGTCATTTCTTCTGAAACAAAAGTAACAGACTTTTCATATCTTATTTCAGGTGAGATTATTATTATAATACTAGGTGAAACCCGTCGAAATCGACGGTTACTTTGAAGGCTTACGTTAATTCATCCAACTGCGATAAATTGGGTGAAATATACATATTTTGAGGATTTAGCATTGTTTAAAGAGTAATAAGTGTAAAAACAATAATGATATTAATTGCTTTGAATGAAATTAAATTGAATAAAATTACTTCCGTGATTTCATCAGTGTAATATGACTTTATTTCAAAAGGAAATATTTTTTGGGAAGACATATTCTAAATTCAAAGGAGGGTATATCCGTTACAGTGTAAGTTTGATTTTTCCTTCGTCACGTCGCGTGTCGCGTCAGTTCATATCGTACTTCTGTGCCAATGAATGAACCCTCTAGCATAGTTTTGAGAAATTGATTGTGGGGTTACTGTAAAAAGCTGGGTTTCTATGTTTGGATTTTATTAGACACGATAAGAGCAGATATTTCTTCATAAATATTTCATATGTGTTGAATAATATGATAAAATGTAGGCAAAAGTGGTGAAAAGGCAGACACCAACCCGTAAAATAGATATAAGATAGTTCAATAAGAAATAATTTAAGAATTGCTGTGATAAAAGGATTTTCCACTGCTTACGTAATGGAACGTTATATTGCAAAACATGGCATGATAAAGAAGAAAATCAATTTTACAATCAGAAAATAACATTGCAAATACTTATTTGGTAGAATTCAGTCCCAATAAATGTGTGTTGTTTGAAATACAATTTAAAAATGAACAGCTGTTTCATTAAAAAGTATTATTCACATGGCCAAAATGTAAACAACTCTGTAAAGGGATCTTTAAAGGCTTCTGGGGCAGAGTCCTAAGGGATTTTGATTAGTTTTTCTTTTGATAACTCATCTACAGACCAAGACCTTTCTTTGGACACCTCTACCAAGTTTCTACGCCCAGCCGTTCTCTCAAATAAGTGGGGACAATTAAATATTTGGATTCCCCCATGTTAATCTTATGGGAGAAACTCCAACTTTGATGGCCTGTGGGGCAAAGCCCGAGGACTTTTATTACATGAATTGGTGAAAGGGGGCGTCTACACAAAAAATACTTTATTTTGACACGTCGTTTGTAAAAATCCGTCCATTATTAACGGAGGAGTAGTGTTTTGTAGAAATCGCCTTCACTTTTTATACAGGGTGGTAAAAAAGTCCCTGGACAGTTAAATATTTTAAAAAATAATGCAGATAGAGCTACAATACTTGGTACAAAGTTACAGGGCATAAAACTCTATTTTAATACATATTCAGTGATCCAATAACTCTTCAGGGGGGCGGTCCACAAGGAGTCGGAAGAAAATCTTAAATGGAAGCATAGGTCAATATGCACATCAAATTAAAGGTTTTTTTTAGTAGAATACAATGCCGCAAACCGCACTTCAAAAGGTTGATCCTGCGCAAAATGACAGTTGTTCAAAGATTCATTTAATTTACATTGCTATTATACGCTTTCTCCTCAGGGGGCACACAGCCCTAGGAATCGGAAGAAAATTGTTAACGTAAGAATAAGTCGATATGCACATCAAATTAAAGGTCTTCACTTTTAGATTACGATGCCGTAAATTCAAGCTCAAAAGAATGCCTGAGTAAAAAATGACAGCCGTTCAAAGATTCAAAATGGCGGATTCAAGAAATCCGCTAGAGTTTTATGCCCTGTAACTTTGTACCAAGTGTTGTAGCTCTATCTGCATTATTTTTTAAAATATTTAACTGTCCAGGGACTTTTTTACCACCCTGTATGTAAGGATTACCGTAAAAAATTGAATAGATATGATGGTAACACTTTTTAAAATCAGTAAAATTCAAAGTTTAATTTGTATGACTGTATAACGGCAATGAAGTTTTGAATATAAGGGTTTGTCTAATGTCAGGTGGTTGAAAAAAAAACTGCATTCAAAGGCCAGCCAAAACGTAAAACGTTCTCTACTACCCGTCAACAGACTCGAAGTCCCTGTATCCCAATTAAATGTAATGTATTATATAGTCCCGATGGCCTCTGGAAGATTTTGTTGGACAACGGGTCTGCTCCGTTGGTCGTCCGCGTTCGTTGTGAGCAAACCACTTTTGGGAAACCTGCAATTGGCATGCACCTATGCAGCTAGCTCATCGTAGCTACAATATTTCTATCCTCCTACTCTAACCGATAACGAGCTAACGATTTTACCAACTAATTGTTAAGCAGGAAATTAATGCATCTATACCACATTTAAATCGTCCCAGTAAACGAAAATCTATGTTCCTAATTATTACGAGGGCGGTTTTTAAGTAAGGACAGTTTTTGCGTATGAATCCGTAGTTCACTTGTATGCCTAACGAGGCTCCTCGCCACTTACTGGCATTATTTGTGAACAATATTATCCAATTTGCAGCTCTGGAGCAGATATTCAGTATACGTGTATACAGGTGTATACTCAATGCACGAACGCTTCGCTGTGTTTTTTTTTTTGCCGCCGCGTGCGAGATAAGGTCAGTGATATGTGTTTGATTGCAAGAAACATATCCGATGCCGACATTCATCACCTGATGACTGAAGGCTATTGCCCTAATGCCCTATCAATGTGAACCAGATTCAATGATTGGGGTAGAATGCAGAAATGGATGTAGTGCCATCTCGTCCAACACCCCAATTTCCCAGAAAGTAGTGCTTACTCGTCCATCGTACACAGGGTGTTCATAAAGGGGTGTCACAAACTTTAGGCCAAGTAGTACTACAGGCTGATAGTACTAATCAATCCAAACAAAAAAGTTCATATACACATAGGTCGAAAGATGTGTTGCCGCTAGTCACCATTTTGTATTTTTTACCAAACAATTTATATCTCAAGAACTATTCAATCTACGGAAAACAAACTTTTGACATACATTTATTGCGTCAAGAGGTAATTAAATAAAAAATATGTAATATCCTTTTAAATTAACAAAATGGCAGCCATTTAAAATCTTAAAACTTAAATTATGAAGAATTATAAATAAAAATACTTTTCAAAAATGCCATGTTTTTAAACGCACTATAAAGGAGAAAAAAATTTATAAATATGTTGTGAAAATAAATACTTGTAATATTTTAAACGAAAAACGTGGGGCGCATGCTAATTTTCAATTAACTTCACCTATTGAACTATTATGATTTATTCCTATTGCATGCGCCCCACGTTTTTCGTTTTAAATCTAACAAATATATACTTTCTCAACATATTTATAAATTATTTTCTACTTTTTAGTGCGTTTAAAAATGTGGATTTTTAAAATTATTTTTATTTATAAATTATTTTCTACTTTTAGCGAATTTCCCTATAGGGAAGTAGCTATTACCGTAGGTCTCATGGTAAGACTTATAGTCCAGGACCTGACTAGGGTTCTGTGTGCATGTCGTGTATAGAGAATTTTGCTTTTGCATTTCAATATAGGTGTCTTAGGAAGTGTTTTCCACTCGGGTGTCAAATTCGCACCTGGTACGTTTTCGAGCTATGACGTCATAAAGATGGCGGCTCGGCAATTTTTAAATGCGTATATTTCGCAAACCGTTTTACGGATCGGTATGATTCTTTTTTTGTTTGAAAGATATTTTTACAAACTATCTTTTTTGTATTTACACATTTGTTGTAAACTTAATATTCACCGCACAATATTGAAAAACGTTGTTTTTATTGTTATTATATTTATTGTTTTGCTTATAATTTCTTAACCGCTGATAAAATCAAATACCACCCGTGGCAAAAGTTTCAGATAATTCTATACCCTTTATATATGATTGGACCTAAAAATAAAGCAAAGAGATTGAATAAACCGTAAAAAAACACTGAAAGTGGTGTACGGTCCGGGAAAGATTTAGTCCTGGACATGACTAGGGTTCTGTGTGCATGTCGTGTATAGAGAATTTTGCTTTTGCATTTCAATATAGGTGTCTAAAGGTCCATTTCCTATCCTGCGACTGTTACGACTCTAGCCGCGCGGCTCTAGCCGCGCGTCTAGAGCCGTACGGCTGGAGACGCTTGTCTTATTTCCTATGCCGCGACTCCTGCGACTCCCACGTCTAGTATGACTAATGCAGTTGCACTTTGACCGTCATGGAAGAAGCTTTGGCAGCGTACATTTTAATGGAAGAAGAGGAAGAAGACGAACTATTAACGGACTTGGTACATCAGTTTCTTTAGAAATCTGTCTCCAGACGTTTTCTCGCACATATGCATCCTTGTATTGGGGGTGTTTGGGGTTAAAAACAGATAGGTGTTGACGAACAAGTTCAATTAACCTTGAATCATCCATGATTTTGAAGGCACACACTTGAAACTCAGTATTTAACTATCAAAAACCACACAATCAAACAACTCAGTATACTATCAATTCGCACCTCAACTCCGTACGTATGAACTATTTCGTTACAGCCGCGCGACTGAGCGACTGAACTGCTCGCGGAGCAGTCCAGTCGCGACAGCTCGAGCCGCGCGGCTCGAGTCGCTTCAGTCGCGCGGCTGTAGACGCTCGATAGGAAACGGTTGCATTTACTTTGCATTAAAGCAGTCAATTTTTTCAGCCGCGCGGCTCGAGCCGCGCGACTAGAGTCGTAACAGTCGCAGGATAGGAAATGGACCTTTAGGAAGTGTTTTCCACTCGGGTGTCAAGTCCGCGCCTGTTTCGTTTTCGAGCTATGACGTCATCAAAATGGCGGCTTGGGCAATTTTTAAATGCGTATATTTCGCATACCGTTTAACGGATCGGGGTGATTCCTTTTTTGTTTGAAAGATAATTTTACAGGAAATGTTTTTTGTATTTACACTTTTGTTGTCAACTTAATATTTATCTCACAATATTAAAAAACGTGGTTTTTAATGTCATTGTTTTTTAATGTTTCCTCATAACTTGTTAAACGCTTATAGAATGAAATAACTACCCATCACAAAAGTTGTAGATGATTTTATGCCCTTTC